TGAGTACCTGACACAGGTGATAATTGAAATCCATGAAGAAATAGCGCAGTTCTAAGATCAACAAATTTACGTGATATAATCCAAGAACGTAGCAAGAGGCTCGAGTGCATTATTCCTGAGATGAGTAAATTCCGTAACCAATTTTTCCTTCAAACGCTCATCAAGCACTTGCACCTGTAACATTAGAGTCGAAGGAGGGCATATAAGAAAAAAAGAGGACTTACAGTGATCGACCCAGGTTCATTGGCCAGAAAATTACCGTAGTCAGTGGACTGAATGTGGAGCTTCAAATCTGAAAAAAAAGACTATTTCAGGGTCGCCTGCGCTGAAACATAAGTTGCAAACCTTCGAGAGTTTCGCATTGAACCAAATTAGCATAATCTGTCTGAGATAGCAGTCCTCCTTTAAATCCACGAATAAGAGCCTCTAGATATCCGTGATCGATGTTAAATAGGAATTCACCCATTGTTCGAAACTGCAGAAAATGGTTGCTAACTTGAAATTGAAAAGTGGATAAAACGAAGACAGAGATGAAAATCACAGTGCAGAGTTACTTAGAAAAATTCAAATGACTGGTCTTGGCTCGTGAAATTGCTGATTTGTTGATTGAACTATAGATCTACCAGAGGGGAAAAAACCAATAGATAAACAGAATCTAATGAATGAAATAATTGGATTTTTTCTTTCGAAGATTTACAAATCATTAGGACTTTAGACTTTAGTAGAAGTCAAATTCACACAGGCTTACGGAGGGCACAATCTAAGCATTTAGTAAGTCACACCTCGAACAAAGAGAAATTTTCTTTTACAAAAAGAGCAGAGATCCAGTTCACTTATTTGTAGTTGGAAAAAACGAACACAATAACAATTGAAGAATGGACTGAAAACTTGGGGTTTATTTATATCTAAACAAGAATAAAGACAGATTGTAATTGCCACAATAAAATTCAGCACAGTTAAGGTGAAAGAGACGACTTTAGTAATCAATGTTGAATAAAATGCACGAGTAAAAACAATAGCAATGAGCATAAATATGTGGTCGACCAGACCTTACGTCTCTCAAATATGGTAAAACAAGGGAATATAAGAATCTTCAATCAAAAACTCCAATAAACT